TATATATGTCTCTAATATCCAAAATGTCTCATACGTTCAAAATATAAGATATGAGTGACCTGATCCATCTAGTCAAGGAACAGAAGAAATTCCTCGAAGAATGTTCTCCTGGAACAGCCCGAACGCCTCAAGTCTACAAATATCCTAGCAATATTCTCTTGTAACAAACCTTGAGCACTAGAAGTAGAAGTGTTAGCAGTCGAAGTAGGCCGAGCAGAATGTGGTATATCAACAGCGGGCTGAGGAATTTGAGCAGGACGAGCAAAATGTGGTATATCAGCAATGAGCTAAGGAATTGGAGCAGGACGAGCGCCAGAGAATTAACCTATAAAGTAATAGCAATGTATGAGTGCATACATGTCTGAGTGTTAAGTCGATGTGTATGTTTACGTGTGTATAAGTATTAAATGTATGTATATTTGTGTATGCCAGTGTACATGTGCATGCGAGAGTGTGTGTATATTAGCATATGTACCATATTGTTATTAATCCACTGCATGTGAGACCTAAGCTCCTCTTGAGACTACCCATCTCAGCTACCCGAGCTCTAAGCTCAGCCAACTCATGATGTAGCTCCTTATTAGAAGTGTCGATTTCCGCTATGGAGGACGCCCTCAAGTAAGTCCGAATGGCACCAATGCCCATGACTCTTTCATAACCATCGTGATGCCCTCCATGCAGGGAATCTAACATGTGGGTGAAAGAAAGTGCATCGTCCTCCGTGGTTGAATCGACCCCTAATAAGGTTGTCTCCTCGATGACTCGATTCTACACGATTCAAAGTAGTCAACTGTAAGTCGACAATGCAAAAGTAGATATATTTAAGAAAAAATAAAAACAAAATAGAAGTATGATTATATCATAAAAGCAATTCAATCCTCGATTAGAATTATAGCAGCTGAAGTGTAGATGATTGTCTAAAGGCAGGATACAGAAATAAACTAGAGCAATCATAATTTATTCAGTCTTCATTTCATGCCACCAGATTGTTATTCATGCCACTAGAGGAAATTCGAACTTTACACAACATACGGATGTATCCAGTCTTCATTTTATCCTGTCTTCATTTTATCCAGTCTTCATTTCGTTCAAAACTTTTAACACAATTATCGTAATTTCCAAAACTCCACTATAGTTTTTAGTTTGTCTAATTAACTGGACATGAAACATTTTGCCTAGTAGAGTGCACTTATATGGCTGATGGATGTTGCCTTCTAAAACCAATTCCATTAAACATGTGTTGTATTAGTAAACTGTGAAGTGATACATATTGGACTTATATGGCAGATGATCCTCAGTTTTGTTAAATCTAGAAAGAAAATGTAGGATTTAAATCTAATTAAATCTATTTGTGGGCACATATGATTAATCTGTGTGTATTGCTATCCTTAAGGCACTACAATAAATTGCACTTTTCCCGACGCTTATTTCCGACGCATGGTTAAAAACGTAGCCAAAAATTATGTTTTTCCCGACGCTTTTAGTTAGCGTCGCCAAAAAATATATATTTCCCGACGTTAATAATTAGCGTCGCTAAAAGTGTATATTTTTAACGACGTTTTAACTTAGCGTCGGTAAAAGTTATGGATTTCTCGACGTTTTTTTATTTTCGTAGGCAAAAGTATAGCTTTTTAGCGACGTTTTAAGATTAGCGTCGCTAATAGTATGCATTTATCGTGACTTATTAGGCTAACGTCGCTAAAAGTATTATTTTCCCGACGTTCCTCCTTGGCGTTGCTAAAGTTTACATTTTTTACGACGGTTCTTTGTTTATCAGCGTCGCTAAGCCCAGAAAATTCCCCCCATTTATTTTCTCTGATCTGAAGTTCGCCGCCTTCGTCGAAGCTCACCGCCGCCATCGTCGGAGATCGCTGCCTCCGTCGGAGTTCGCTGCCTCCGTCGAAGTTCATCGCCGCCTTCGTCGAAGTTCACCGCCGCCTCCGTCGGATCTCGCCGCCTCTCCTCCTCCTCCTCCCGCTCAACGCAGAACCCATTTGATCATTTGTCGGAGAGCAAATAGCATTTTTTTTTAAAAATTCAAATCTTGAGACGTTGAAAAGGAAGTCGGAAGTTGGCATAACCGTTAGCAATCAGCAGTATTAGATTTTTTTTTTTAAAAATCTCTTTTATGCTTGCAGTCAACGAGGTGGGAAGAACTCTACCTTATGTAAACTCCTTATTTGCTGGCCGAGTATGGCAAAGGTCTTACATGCATCCTACTCCTTCACACACAGAAATCCTACACGCCTTTTAATTTCTTCTACCTTATGTAAACTCCTTATTTGCTAAAGTCAACAGTAGCAGCTATATGTCAAGTCTCAACTATTTACCAAGACAATGTACAAAAGAGTAGCATGGACCACTTATTAATGAGTAGTTTAGATTTTTTTTTTTGCATTTATAACCTACAATAATTGAATTGAATTTGAAAAGCTAATTGTTTATGTTGTTCCAAAATAAGCAGCGATGTTGGTATCGCTATTACTCTAGTAGTAGTTGTGCATATTCTAAGGATGTTAGCATCTTGTGTTATTTCTAGTTCCTTCTGGGTACATGCAAATACAAATGCAATTGAAAAGGATACAATATATAAACCTTCGATATAATTCTCATTGTGAATTTTTGTGATCAAAGTACTTCATTGAAATGATAGGCTCCATAAACCATTGACATCCACATCATTTTTTGTCTCCTTGTAAAGGTTTCACAAACACAGTGAGAATTTGTAGGCATAAAAGTAGATATTTAAGATAATGAGAAATTTGAAGGACAAGGAAAACATTTTAGTTGATGACACTTTAGATTTAATAGGTTATCTATTAAGATTCTTGTTTAGAAATTAGTATTTTACTTTTAACTCCAGCTTTTGGAGGGATCGAATGTGCAAAGAGTTAGATCTCAAAAAATGTCAGACAACTTTGGGTTGTTATCGATGAATATGTACAAAGTATGGCCATTTCGACATGAAGTTGTGCAGCTGATTTATTTGAAACGTGGTGAGTTAAGCTTTGCTTATTTGTTGGAATTTTTGTTGGGAAGAAAAATGATCAAAATTTTACATGGGGTTTTATCTTTAGATTAGAAATCATTTATATGTTCTGTGATATATCAATTGAAAGCTTGGACCCTTTACCCTGCCACGATTTCTTATGAAGGAGACTCTTCATTAGCGTGACTCTCCATTTCTCAAAGATTTTTTTTTTAATCCAATTGGTAGTACTGGACTTTGTGTTTGTGCCTTTATTTGATTTAGTACACAAAACTGTCTTTATAGAAATTTTATACAATTCATGAGTGTTACTTGCGTTTTAAACACATGGGTCTTGTTTGTACCACTGTCTTTATGGGTTTGGCTTATTGACTGCAACCATTGCTCTGGTTGAACTCCAAGATATTCTCATACATATAAGAGAGAATCTTACATATGTTTACTCATACAAACAGATACATGTAGCCATAAATCACATGCAATATTGTTTGTATGTTTACTCATACAAACAAACAGATACATGATTTTTTTATTCAATTTCAATGTTCTACAGCACAGTTTCATTACACATTCAATTAGAGAGCACATAATGCATAAATGGACTATGAGTCAATTAAATGACTTGTGGATTATGCTAGACTTGAAATGTGTGTTTACACATACACATACAAACATATACACACGGAGATACATATATGATATACCTATACAAATACTCATACATAATATATGTAGACGTGTATATGTATGTGTAGACATGTCTGCAGCTCTCAAGTTTAGCAAGATCAGGTGTACAGCATATGGACCTTTGTCCACCATAAGCAGATCCACCAATGTTATCACGATCAGCAGCTTAAAAAATAATAGCTTGTATCAACCCTGTACTGTGCTCCATGCTTGAATGTTCTGCTGCTGCTTCTTTACTCCTCCAGAATGTAATGTTGTCAAACCTTTCAAACAGAAACCCACTTCAACGTCAAAGGCAAATGATAATAAATATTTCGTAATATATGCTTGTTCCAATGCTCATGTGTTTACTAAGTGTCTTTGGAAACTAAATGAAAATTCAACCAGTTAGGTATGCAGTTAGGTATGCAGAAGATTTTATGGAAAAGGTCAGCATCATATTTATCATCATTGCAGGGCATCTGTAACTTAGATACTCTATTAATGGGCATGTGAAATGTGTGTGGCCAAGAAAGTTCTTGTATGACATGAATATGGGGTGTTAATGAATCTGGTCCAATGTTAAAAATCAGAATGCATGCAAGATTCTTATAGGATGTTTTAAGTTTGTGAGTACACATGTTTCTTTGTGCTACAGTCATGTTGTACTCATGCATGTGTCTATATGCATTTTTGTTGTGCCATGTTGCATATGAACATTGAATTGCACGTTCTATCATTTCCAAGTATTGAATATAACATGTATTCAATATAACTCATGTTTTATCTCTGGAGAAAAACGAAAATAAAAATGGTTTCTTACATGGAAAAAAAAATTCCGTTAGTTCTTAGGCAGAAAAATGAATTTCAGTTTGTAGTTTTGAGTTTATGTGAATTAGAGATACTTGGATATTTATTCAACTATTTATGCTTTCCAACTCCTTAGTTAAAAAGTAAAAGTATTCTCCTTTCTGTTGTTCTGAATTAAAATTAATTCCTTGCCCGAGCCCATTAAAATTAGAGATACTTTAACCATTGATTTATTGGGAGGTCGTTTTCATTGGTTTATTAATGGGCATGTGAAATGTGTGTGGCCAAGAAAGTTCTTGTCTGACATGAATATGGGGTGTTAATGAATCTGGTCCAATATTTATGCTTATATGTATATTCATGCTTAAAGAAGGATATTCATGCTTATACCAATATTTATGCTTATATGTATATTCATGCTTAAAGAAGGATATTCATGCTTATACCAATATTTATGCTTATATGTATATTCATGCTTAAAGAAGGATATTCATGCTTATACCAATATTTATGCTTATATGTATATTCATGCTTAAATGATTGGGTATCGATGATCGATGTGTGGGAAACTGAAGAATGGAAGGTATAGATCTCAAATCACTTTATTAAATTGTCATGTTAATTTTATTTGTTGTGATATATTTTAATAATATATTTTATATTGGTTATTAGACAAAATCTTATAAAGCGAAGGAGAGTCGATCAAAGTTGCCCTACAATCATATATCTGGTTCCCGATCATTTGCAGCAGCGATGTCACTAATTGTAAGTTTTGCTTTATAAGTTTTTACTTTTTAAATACCTAAACTTTAGGAGACAAATGAGCAACTAATCATAATTGTAGTACTAATTGGTGTATATTTCCGGTAAAATGTAAATCAGATGGGTCATGGGTGTTAGGCAGTTAGGCTTAGGCAATGGACATAAATTATTATTTAATTTAGTGGGCTAGTATTAGATTATTAGGCCCTTTTTTAAACAAACAAAAGACTTATTGGAAAGAATTAAGAAATATACTATGAGCATTTTTAAAAATTTGGGGCCCCCTTGAAATGGGGCCCTGTGCGGTCGCCCCCCCCTACCCCCCCTCTTGGGCCGGGCCTGGTCCCAACTGCTGATACTCCCCGGCTTGAGGCGACGATACCAATCGAAGGCCGCTCCGCTCGAGATGAGGTCAGACTTGCATTTAATTTTTCATTATTAGACTTACTAGTATTTAGACCCGTGCAAAGCACGGTTTCTAAAATATTTTCTGCAAATATTGAACATGTTACCAAAATAAATTATTCTACTTTAGATATGAAGTAGAATAATTTTCCTTGTTTAGTTGTTCAAGCTTTTCCTCAGTACACTCATTTAATGAAATTACAATATATTTTCTTACACATAATTTTTTATATCATCCTCTTTGTCAGCATATGATACATTTCTGATACCATCAACGTATGTTATGGTTCCCATGACAAATTACATATGATGCATAGGTTATTTGTTAGCAAGAATGATGAGTATGGAAAAGAAAGTCTAATAAGAATACTACAGTTAGAAGACAATTTATTTATTTATTAAAGACAATTATCTTTTGTAGATAATGTAAGAAATAGACATATCCTCAAAGGTAAATCATTCCACACATAAAAATATGGGTCAAACACGCCCTTATTACAAAAACGGTTCAACTAGGAATAAAATACATAGTCCATAATAAAAGTACTGATAAAATAACTAAATTCATTATCAACTAAAGAAATACTGTTAAAGAGTTCTAGTGCTCATCAACTACTACAGAAAGAAATAGTCTAAGCTTCAGATTGCTCTTCTGATCCATCTGGAAGAAGGAACGGTCGAATGACCAATGCAATAACAATAATAATAAATAGAAACATGCAGCTGGAATACTAACAAGCTAGATGCAATCCATCACTAGAGTATAACGATCATAAGAATCCATAATCATCCGCGTAACAAGGACATACCCCTAGATAGAATTAATACTTAAAAATCTACAACTCGAGACGTAGTACGTCGAGCAAAATAATCCAAACAAGGAAACCCTCATGTATATACCTTATGTCTCAAAATTGTAGGTAATTAATTATTAATCCCGATCTATGTATGAACAGAAATACAACTGCTAGCGATCAGTCTAATCATCCAAGTAACAGGGGCATACAATAGATGGAATTAATACCTAAAAATCTACAACTCGAGACGTAGTACGTCGAGCGAAATAATCCAAACAAGGAAACCCTCATGTATATACCATATGTCTCAAATTGCAGATAATTAAATATTAATCCCGATCTATGTATGAAAAGAACAACACTGATCTACATCTCAACAAAACTAACAAGGTCCACCAGAAGCACGCAAGCATATTATTCTTGTTTTACATGTTATTTGAATTGGGGAAGAATATCTTCATATATATAATCAGGTCCCCGTAAAGTCATCCGGGGGTCGCCCTCAAGTCAAGTTTGGCTCTCCGGCCCAAGTATATATATAACTCACAATATCAAGAAAGCGCATATGCCCGTTTATATAAATGTTATATTCTTCGTCCAATTCCCCTTTATATCCCCATGTTTGTCATATTAATTAACTGTACATGAAATATTGTGCACTAACCACAGAGTAACCGTGGAACGACTTCTGCAAAAACTATGAAAATAATCGTGATCCATAACACGTCCGATCAAGAGTGCATCGTCTAGTCAATGCTATAATAATAATAATAATCAAGAAAACCTCATACCGGGATATCGATATCAAGGGTACAGCCATGCCTTGAAAGCACGCTTATAATTCATACTTTTAACAGGAGTCGTCTTCATGTACAGTCTCTCCTATTGGATAACAACTAAGTGATAAAACAACAAGTTTCCTTTCAGCATCAAAATGTAGGTTTCACAAGTCCTATCATATCTATTCAAAAAAATGAACATCAGTCATCTACCTAGCTTATCACATTACATCCATTTTCATTTATCTCACTATACATCATCCTGATCAATGTAAATATATCTCAACTCCTTGCATATAATAATCCTTTTCTTCACATCTTCATCTTCTACTATTATATTATTCCACTTACACGTCATCTATGCCACATTATCCATTACAACAACTCATCATGCATATCCCTCACATTCATTATAAATCTTATCTTCACACTTGCATTTACACGTACATATTATCATCAATCATATTCTAACCATATCATTTATTACATGTAGTATACTTTATTAATCATCAACGATATTTTCTCATTATTTGGTCTGTTGTATACCAACTAACATCCCCAACATCATATAATAACAATTATCATCAACTTAAGTCTACTGTTCACATCTATGTTCATTATCTCCTTGGTTACTCACTACACAGAGAAATCAAATAACACATCCCATGTATAAAATGATAATAAAAATAAATTCATAACTTGAGAGAAGTGAGATCTTGCCTTGGGTTAAGGCAGCGGCGTTACGAGGCTAAGCGGGTCTGGACAGGGGTTCTGCAGGTTCGCCGGCGAGGGTTGGTCGGAGGCGAACGGAGCTCGGCTGGAGGAAGGAGGAGCTGGGGTGGTTGACGGCGAGTTGTCGACGACGAGGGAGGGGCGGCGCCTCTAGAGGTTGACGGAGAGGGGGTCAGGCGCTGAGGTTGAAGGAGACGAGGTGGGTTGTAGACGAAGGAGTACGACGAACGGCGACGGTGGTGCTGTCGGCGTGGATCTCCGGTCGACGGGAAGAAGATGGTGAGGATGAGAGCGGATCTTGGGAGGCTCTCGCGGGGATCTGGACGGCACGGCGACGGCTTGGGTCTGTCGAGCGGCTGCCGGCGAAGAGGAAACTCGGGTCTGGGTTGTTGAGGGCGGTGACTGGAGGCGGCGGAGTGTTGGGTTGTCGAGTGAAGGCGGCGGGTTGAGCGCGAAGGCGGAGGCGGTCGAGCAGAGAAGGCCGACGAGGAGGCAGCGCAGGGGAGTTGGACGTGGAGGGGAGAGACTGAGCGGCGGCGCAACGGCGATGGAGAGGTAGCGGCGAACTTGGAGGAGAGGGTGGGGAGCTGGCTGAAGCTTTTGGGAGGAAATGGAGAGAGGGAGAATTATTGGGAAGAGAGAGAGAGAATTGACGTGAGAAGAGAGGGAGAGATGATGATTTAAATATTATATGTGTATTTTGATAGAGGGAGTACGGGAGAGATAGGATTTGTTGCGATTTAGAGAGAGAAAAAGATGAGAAAATATATGGAGAGCGGCGCAACGGCGATGGAGAGGTAGCGGCGAACTTGGAGGAGAGGGTGGGGAGCTGGCTGAAGCTCTTGGGAAATGGAGGAGAGAGGGAGAATTGACGTGAGAAGAGGGGAGATTATGATTTAAATATTATATGTGTATTTTGATAGAGGGAGTACGGGAGAGATAGGATTTGTTGTGATTTAGAGAGAGAAAAAGATGAGAAAATATATGGAGAGAAAAGATTGAGTACGAGAGAGATATTGTAAGTATCAACGTGATTTTAGGGGTATATTTGATTGATTGGTTTTGAAATTTGAAAATGAGAGAATATGAAAGGAGAGAGATTTGTGGCCAGAGGTAGGAGATGATTAGGGTTAGGTTTAGGGGTATATACACATAGATACGCATGCACGTGGAAAAAATAATATCAATCACGATTAATAATACAAATCAAATATAATATGCGTAATCATGATAATTATAATAACAATTAATCAAATAATATTACTAACAAAATATTAACAACCAAATATTTATATATATGCTAAAGTACAAAGCTAAGGTGAATATTAATACAATACAAATAATAATGATAATAATAATAATAATGAATAACAATAATAATGGATGACATATATTTATTTAAAAAGTTTTTACCTCAATAATTAAATTATAATTAGTAAAACATAAAATGGTATTATTAAATCATAGAAAATTCTAGGAAATCAAGTAAAACATAAATACTAATTTGAAAATAATAATTTAATATTTTAAATATCCGAAAAATTATTTTAACTAGTATTAAAAATTCATGGTCCTTACATTCTACCCCCCTTCAAACAAATTCCGTCCTCGGAATTAAGATAAGAACCCAAGGAAAGATATGGAACAATATCCATAAGAAGAGGAGACAGGAAACAAGGAACAGTGGGAAGATCCGGAGTCAAAAAATGATAAGATAGGGACGAAAGGAAATCTATCAAGAATATAGAATAATGGCTGAAGAATAGTCTCACGGATGAAATATGATATGCGTCTAAATTATCTACTATATTCTTACTAGTGTGGACTCGGGACCGTGACCTGCATGGGCCACCAAAAAAACCTGTCACGCCCCGCTTCCCAAAATACCGGGGAATCGGGACGCGAGCAAGCCCGCGACGTATTAAGCTAGCGATCAGTCTAATCATCCAAGTAACATGATCATACACTAGATGGAATTAATACTTAAAAATCTACAACTCGAGACGTAGTACGTCGAGCGAAATAATCCAAACAAGGAAACCCTCATGTATATACCATATGTCTCGAATTGTAAATAATTAAATATTAATCCCGATCTATGTATAAAAGGAAACACAACTAGCTTATATCTCACAAGAACTCATACTTAGCCAAGAACCAAGGTCATGTAACTAACCATCCTATCACTCAACTCAAATAATCAACAATCCCAATATCACTGCTCCTCAGACCCACCCCAGGCCGAAACAAGGCGCTGGCGCGAGCCTGGAAAACAAATAATAATATCGATATCACCTCACCTCAGACCCACCCCAGGCCGAAACAAGGCACTGGCGCGAGCCTGGAAAATAACTACAATCACAATATCACAACT